TTGGCAATTGCAGTTGAGCCTGCGAGGTGTGGTGCAATCTTTGTTGCGTTGGGCTGAGGGTTGTGCTTGTCACGAAAGCATTCTTGTAGGCAAATCCCGGCATCAGCAACAGAAGCTCTTGCGCCAAGAAATTTCATGCGCCGCAGATGTTCCCTGCTTGTGTCCTGTTATGGGATGCCGTGCTGCCGAGATGGCAGCAGGCCAGCTGGAGACCTTCAGAAGCAAGCTATTTTCGGTGCGGTTTAATGATTTCGTAGGATCTTGCCAGGCCCGTTTATCCGTTGAGCAATGGGGTCGATTGAGGGCAGAATGGGATAAAGCTGGTGCATTCATCAGTGAGAATTTGAAGATCAGGCTTGGTTTTTATCAAGGCTTGCCATGGGTGATTCTGGGTGGCACGCACCCAGACCGTGAGAAGGCAATGGCATGTTTGCAACAGGGTCAGCATTTGTGGGATGCTTTGCCAGGGGCTGCCCGTCACCTGCAGCACAGGCTGGCAAAAGATTTGTTTACGCCTGGACCGCTTCATGATGACTTGCAGCACTTCTTGTCTGGCGAATTCCTAGAAGATTGCCCCAGCTTGGAAGCTTTCTTGGCGCCTTTGACTTTCATTCAGATAGCTGAGAGAATCATAGAGGGGGCCCACAAGGATTTAGGAGTGTTGCCTAAGTATCACAGCATGACTGCTTTGTCAATCGAATTGAGGGCGCCTGAGTTGAACAGGAGCTTGTCTTTGCGCCCTGAACTGTTTGGCAAGCTGCTTGAATGTTTCCAGGCAGCTCGCAAAATCCGAAAGGTAAGTAGCATCTTCCCCTTTTTTCGAGGCCACCCACGTGTGCGTGCCCTAGATGCAGGCGGTGCAAAGACTGCCACAAGCAAGTATGTGACACAGCTACGTACCCTGCTGTACCGTGATTCTGTGGTGCAACATGGAGACATCAGGGCTGCAGCAGGCTTAAACGAGTCCCACAAGGCTCAGCGGGATAAATTGAAAAGAGGTCTCGAACCCAAGGAGCCGCCGCTCTCTCAAGCTATACTATTTGGCCAGGCAGCTGTCAACCATGTGCGGCAAGTTTGTGGGGATGACCCCGGTGCAGTGTTGTCGCTTAGGGATGGTTTTTGGGCCCCAGTGATCCTGCGACCCTCAGCTATTCACAAGGTCTCCCACGCCCCTCTTGCAATTGCCAGTATGAACAAGAATGACATTTTGGTCAGCAAGCTAGAAAACTTTGGCACTGCAGACGCTCCGACTGTTTCTGCCCTGAGCGAAGGACCTAGGTCAGAGGTGCTCAACTTGTGTTCGTGTGCCCATGACATGGGCTTGGACGCATTCCTATCAAGTACAAGGCTTTGGAGGAAGCAGGGGGAGGTGTGTGTTTCGGTGCCCAGCATTGAAGGTGTGCCTGATGCGCATGTAGCAGGTCTTGTGCAACGCATGGTGAAAGAGCATGCCTTGTCTGATTGTGTAAATGGAGTTGTGCCTGCTCGTGGGAGTGAGGAAGAGGCAGCTTTGCGGGGTTTGGTTCATGAAGGGTTCGCAGAAGAAACGTGTTTGGGCGCGCGCCTAACATCAGAGGGAGTTGCTGCATTGACGTTTCGTCACATACTTTCCTCCCCGCTGCCCCTGACGCAGGCCAGAAATGTCCCGCTTGCTGAGCTTTCAGTCTTTGAGTTGATGGTGTCAATGAGGTCAAAAGGCTGGGCTTGGTCTGCTCTTCCAAGCAAGAAGGCTGATAGGCTTGCTCTCAAGTTCTCGCCAGGTGATCCGCTTGTCTTTTATACTGCTGGGGTAACAGTCTGCAAATCTTACCTGCTCTGTTTGTTAGACGCCGAGAACTTGAGCACCAAGTATGGCGTGGCATCCATCCCGCACAGCCTGCCTCCTGACGCTTATGATTTGATCCTGCAAGGCATGCAGCCCGCGCAAGCTTCAAAGTCCATAGAGAACATGCCTAAGCGAGGCAAGAAGCGAGGTGTCAACCTTGATCTTGATGTGGAGGTGTGTGGCGAACTTCAAGATATCGAGCCTGAGCCTGCTCTTCCAGCCGTTTTGCCAGCTGAAGGGGTGGTTGCTCCTGATCATCCGGTTGAGGAAGGAGAAGAATCACATGATAGTTTAGAACGCGAATTGGAGAGATTGATAGAGCAAGAGGCTGAAGAGCTTGTAGACGAAGTGACGATTTCGGGCAGCGCCGCAGCTGCAGTTGCTACAGGGCCAGATGACAGCAAGGGTTCCAGTGCAGATGGTGCAGCAGCAGCTGCCTCTCGTGATGTCAGTGACTCAGTGCCTGTGAAAAAGAAACGCGGCGGTCATGATGCTCAGGTTCGGAGACTGCCTCGGCTCGCACCATGGGGCCCTTTCATCTTTCACCGCAAGCATGCAGCTGCTTCGCCCCCTTTCGGCGGTGTGGAGTGTGTTTGTCCATACCACGCTCTGAACAGTAAGACAGGCTGTAAAAAATTTGTCAGTTTGCAGGGGCCGCTGGAGTCGGATGAGGAGCGTTGCCTGCTCACTTTGAAACACTGGGCGAACCAGGCTCAGCATTTTAACAGGCAGCGCAGCCACTTGAAGATGCCTCTTAGGCCGGCAGATATTCCCAGTGCTGGAATCGTTCTTCAGCAGAAGCCAACAGGTGAGGCGCCACGTCAGGTCCGCACAGATGTTGAATTGGATGCAGCAGAACGCAGTGCAAGCGCAGGGCCCAAGGCCAAAGGCAAAAGCCAGCCAAAGTCCAAAGCAAAGGCTGCTCCTAAAACAAAAGCCATGGTCAAGTCTGCAAGCAAGAAAGCCGTAGCATCTGCCGCCGCTCCTCCATCCCCCCGTGATGAAGCTGCCTCCGACCCTACCTCAAGCCACTCCGCTAGATCAGGGAATAAGTCTAGTGCATCATCTTCGGGTTCTTCCAGCAGCAGTTCTTCAAGCTCGGACAGCAGCTGATGTGCAGGACTGATTTTCTAGTTGAGGAGGAACATTCTAGATGCCTTCATATGTTTGGTAGTTTACAATGAAGCATTGACAGGACCTTGCCGATGGTGCTGCGCACTGGTCCTCAGTGTGCCCTTGGAGGCCAGCTGCTGGTCTCTGAACTTTGTTGCTCTGGCTTGACTGGGACAGGTGTGGCTATGTGATTGAGTTTGAAGGGGACCTGATTGCTTTCCTCGTGAATGAAAAGCAGGCCGGGAAGCCAGCTTGTGCCACGAGGTAGAATCAGTCACTCCGTAAAAGGTCTTGTTGTTATTGTAGACTTCTATGTAGTATGTACGGATATTATGCAACACATGCCATGCGTGGAATGCGTTCTATGCTGCGAGGTTTTGGTGATGTCTTGGCTATGCAGAAAACGCATTACGTTTCGCGCCCAGTGTTCGAGTTGCTTGTTCCGTGCAGATGCAGAATACCTAAGAGTCATGTGTCATGAGCACATATAGGGAGCTTTTCATAAGTGTCAGGTTTGGTGCGAGCCCCCTCCAGAGTCCATCTCCATGCGCAGTCCTCAAAGAGCTTGCTTGCCAGGATGTTATTGTATCTCCATAACTTGTACCTGTTATATTAGTAGTGAAGATACGATAAATTGTTTTATAAAGTATGATGTGGAGGAGCTCCTGTGGTTAGACTTTTCCCTTGAGGTTGGATGTGGCGGTGACATTGGAGGGTGCCAGTGTGCCAGGGCCTTGACACTTGTTTTCCTTGGCAGTGCGATGCAATCCGAGCATTAAGAGGCTGCGTCGATCTTGTTCAGTCATGTATGTATCATGAGCTGCAAATCTCAAGTTCAAGCCAGCCCTAAGCTTTTTTGGAAGCAGCGCCCCAGAAATAATGCATACAGGGCTCCAAGTTTAAGTTTTGTGGGGAAAAACCACAATTGGGTCCAGATTGTCCAGATCATGTGACAACAGCCCAGCCACAGACCCCANNCAAAACTTGAAGTCATCGAGCCTGACCGCTCCGTTTTGAACGCTTGGTGAGCTTTTGTGTCATGTGAGGGTTCATTGTGCAAGCATGTGTACAAAACCAGGTTGTGTAGGCCAAAACAGGTGGGGTTGGCAGGTGCGCGACGGTGCGCGACGCTTGCGCGACGGTTGCGCGACGCTTTTGGGAGTAGGGCTCTTATAGGCCCCTCGGGCCAAAAGTCGCAGTGCGCGACGCTTTTCTGGGGGGTGCGC